GAAAAAAGAAGCAAATCAGAGCAGAAGCATTCATTGGAAGTCATGGAACCATCTTACACTTCCAAAAGCCAGAGGAGGATTAGGGTTCAAAGATATCCTTCTCTTCAACAAAGCTCTTATAGCTAAGCAAATATGGAGGCTTCTCACAAAACCAAATCTTTTGGTCAGTAAAGTTCTAAAGCTAAATATTTTCCACAAGAAAGTCTGTTTTCAGTCAAAAAGAAGAAGACCAGCTCATGGTTGTGGAATAGTTGGCTTGAGGTGAGGGATTCATTAAGGCTAGAGCCAGATATTGTATAAAAGATGAAAGATCTGTGAAAATTTGGGAATTCCCATGGGTGCCTAGTCTACCTTGATTTAAACCCTCTTCAATCCCTACAGCTCAAACCAATAATCTCATTTGGGTGAGGGATATGATGGATTCAACAGGGAGATTCTGGAACACTTAGTTGATTAAGGATCTCTTCAATGATACAGAGGCTCAGGCTCTTCTCAGCATCACAGGAATTGATCCATCTAGCCATGACAGATTAATGTGGGACAATGGAACCAATGGTGCATTTTCAGTTGCATCAACCTACTCAAATTGGTTGCTGAAAAATGAAAAATTCTAGATTATGGTGAGTGCAGTAGAGGTTGTAACGCCCCATGTTTATCTATGTTTTTCAGGTCAAGGAGTCGGACCGGCGGCATGAGCTGGCGGCAGTTCAGGATTTTGTTTACATGTTTGAATTTTGGCATAGGAGTGCTGTTACTATCTCCCGTAGTGGAGTTTAAACATGTTGCCACGCTACGTCTTCCGCTGGTTTCACTGCTTGTCAAACTTAGTCTTTTGATCCGATGTTTAATCGGGTTGTTTATATTATGATGAACCGTTTTTCTTTAAAAATTAAAAGGACGGTTTTCCAGGTAAAGATATTGTTACGGTAGCACTCCGAATCATGATTTCGCAAACTAATTAGTGATTTTTATTGAACGGTTTTGTGAAAATTAAACTCTGATATTTACGATATAGCGGGGTGTTACAGATGGTATCAGAGCACGTTTTTGCGTCTCTAAAAACTTTTACGAGTCAGAAAGTTTTATAAAACCTGAACACGTCACGCTCACGCCTCGCCGACTACAGGTAAGTGCTGATTTATGTTTTAAATTATAAAAAAATTACTATGTCTATGCTCAGAAAAACCACAGTTAAGATTTAGTTAAGATGCTCGAATCATGTTCAGGAATCATAGTTCAGTATATCCATGATTAATGTCAGTATTTCAAAGCCATGTTAAGTAATTCGTCAGGAGAATTGTAAGCATTTATGTTATAGAAATCTTAGCAAGCATGTTCCACAGACATTTTTCTATCAAAATTGCCCATTTTTGCCAACCAGTTGGCACCTTACAGGGAGGAATTCCTTGACCGAGATCAGGGAATAGACTCAAATTTCTTAAGTCAAGTCAGTAAATCATGTTCAAGGCTAAATTTTCAGGCTAAAGGTTGTTATATTTCCTAAGCCATTGTCCAAGATAAAGGTTTTCAGTGTATAACAGTCAATATTTCCGGTTACCATGGAGGCTTGAAATAAGAGCCATTCAGCCGGGTATACCATGGAGGCTTGAAGCTGGGACTGAAACAATATGATTTCATGTAATAACAACCTTTAAAGTCAGTTATGTCATGTATTCTATCAGTTTGATATTCCAAGTTATGGTTTTCAAGCCCAAGATCAGTTATTTCTTCTGTACTTGCGGGACCAGTTGATATTGGAGCAGCCCTATATAGTACATAGTCATGAGTCAATGTTCAGGATTTAAAGTCAATGTTCATGAGTCTAAGGTCGACGTATAATAGTTACTAAGCCGGGTTAAATGTGGAGGTTTGAATTACAGATCATTACTCCAAATTTACTTGGAAACTTGAAGTCGCACCTTATCAAGCCACAGTAAGTTAGTAAATGCCACGTTCTAAATTCCGAGATGACCATTAAATTGTCTCAGAATAGCTTTCAAGAATCCAAGTAAAAGTTATATAGTCATGTCAAAGTCAAGTAAGAGTTATTCAGTTATGTGAATGTTAAAGCTAGTCATGTCAAAGTCGAGGATGGTCTGTCTAATAAGACAAGACTTATCAGTTATTTCACAAGTATGTCCAGTGCCTCGATTCTCGAATTTTGAAATTTGAGACACCGCAGGAAAGATTAGTTCATGATAGATTTTTTTCTTAAGGCTAAGTTTAGCCTCAAGAAAGGTAAAGATTTGCAGGTACAATATGTTTATGACAGAGAAGGGCCAATCAACAACATCAACAACTAATGCCGTGGTGACAATCAGAGCTTTCCATTCAAAGACGAATGAAGAGAAAGATGTCTGCCTGAGTCATAGTACACTAGGAGATCACAGAGAGTTAGCATTATAGTACATTGAGGTTACTAGCTTGAGATACAAATATGATCAGTTATACAAACTACATCGACGTCGCAGGTGCAATGTTCGCCAGGTGCTGCATACAGGCGTGCCGCACTCACTAGATGAGGAGCGGGTGTGCTGTATTGCAATGTGCCGCGAACGATGTGCCGCGTTATTGAGTGGATGTTCACGAAAGGTAGTTACGAGACTGCTAGTTATCCTCACTTGTACATGTGCGCATCTCTGAAATCTTCTGTGTGTACCATTCAACTTGGGTTTCACAACCAACGTTCAGACCGAAGATCAGCAATCAGCCCAGAGGTGATGACCAGTGCGATCAAGAATTATGCTTTTAATGTCATGTATAATCAGTGGAACACTTCATTTCAGAAAAGTGCCCATTCTCAGCCAGCATTAATCAACAATTCACTTAATTGTGAATTGATGATTCTCCAGTTCAGATCAAGTCTACCGTTCAATATTAAAATACTGAATTTCCAAGTTATTCATTAGTAAGTATAAGCTTTAGGTTAAGCTTGTACATTCCAGTTTATTATTTCCGAGGACGGAAATATTTTAACGAGGGTGGATTGTAACGCCCCATGTTTATCTATGTTTTTCAGGTCATGGAGTCGGACCGGAGGCATGAGCTGGCGGCAGTTCAGGATTTTGTTTACATGTTTGAATTTTGGCATAGCAGTGCTGTTACTATCTCCCGTAGTGGAGTTTAAACATGTTGCCACGCTACGTCTTCCGCTGATTTCACTGTTTGTCAAACTTAGTCTTTTGATCCGATGTTTAATCGGGTTGTTTATATTATGATGAACCGTTTTTCTTTAAAAATTAAAAGGACGGTTTTCCAGGTAAAGATATTGTTACGGTAGCACTCCGAATCATGATTTCGCAAACTAATTAATGATTTTTAGTAAACGGTTTTGCGAAAATTAAACTCTGGTATTTACGATATAGCGGGGTGTTACAGAGGTCATTCAATGCAAAAAGCTACCGGGAAAAGGACTTGGGGACTCAAAGTGAAAGGGAAGTTGAAGCACTTTCTATGGAGATGTCTCAATAACACACTGCCAGCGAATTGCAATCTCATTAAGAGAGGGATGGAGGTGGACTGCATTTGCAAAGGCTATGGTGAACAACCGAAGACAGTGGAACACATGTTCTTTCACTGTTCTAGAGCTAAAAGAATTTGGAGACACTCTCAGGTTTCCTGGGATGATTATTTAAGCTAAAAAACAGACAACTTTCAAGTGTGGTGGTCTAGTGTGTGTAGCCTTAACAAAACTGCAACCACAGAGGCGAGAATGCAACTTTCCACTTATATTCTCTGTTGGTTGTAGAAAACAAGAAACTTGTGGATGTTCAAAGACTCTTGGATAGAAGACAAAGTTGTAGTTGAACTGGCTTGCAGGGAATGGAGGGAATTCAGCAGGGTGGTTGCTTAGCTTTGTTTATTTTGGGGTTTTTGTTGCTTCTTTTGTGCATAGTTTTTGTTGTTGCCTGTTTTTGATTTCTTTTGCTGGGAGTTCTTCTAGGCCAATTTTTGTGCAGTGGTTGAACTCTCTTTTGGGGGCTTGGAGTTTGAAACTGGCTGTTGGATCCAATGGAAGTTGCATTGCCAACAGATAGTCTCAATCTTCTATTTTTGTTGGGCTTTTTGTGTTGGGCTTTTTGTGGTTGTAGTATTTGAGTATATAAACATTATTACTTTCTTTTGAGTATTTGAGTATATAAACATTATTATTCTAGCTTAGGCCTTGTGAACCAGTTGGTTCCTGATTTATACAAACATTATTACTTTCTTTTGAGTATATACAATCTATCGTTTTGAAAAAATAATAATAATAAAAAAAAGTATTTGGTGTAGTATGGTTAAAAAAAATTCAACTATTTGTTGCCCTGTCTCGTGCAAATTTTTGAACCCGCCACTGCTTGAATCTAACATAAATAAATAAATAAATAAATAAATAAATAAATAATGTATCTATGATCTATAACGTCAATTTTGCTATGGAGTCATCCGATGACACGACTTATGGAGCAATCCACACTTATTCTTAAATAGTGTATAGACACGCGTCCTACAGTAAATACACTTTGAACATGTGTCAATATGTTAAGCGATGAATGACTCCATATAAAAATCATCCGATAACTCCATAAAATTTTTGTCTATAACGTTCATTAGGTTCTTATTTAGTTATTTAATATTTTTTATTTAGAAACTCATTTTTCAAATATTGGAGTTGTAATATGATTTTTGATTATTTCATTAATATGTTATATTTGGAAAAAAAAAATACTTTTATTAGTTTACATTTTATTTCTTTCCTAAAATAATATATTTAATAAATTAATTAATTTAAGTTACTCAATTTAATTCATAAAAATATTCAACACCATTGTGCACACACGATGCACTTTATTAGTAGATAAAAAAAAAAAAAAAAAAAAAAAATAACGCATAGCCCTCTTTTCATTTACGCAGTGAAACCTCAATTTCAAACGTCACCCCCACTGAAACAACAAAACCCTTCTCCGCACAGTGAAACCCTAATTTCCCCTCAAACGTCACCCCCACTGGAAAGAAAAATGTACAAATCAAGACTGCAGGAACTCTGCCAGAGATCGAGCTGGGAGTTGCCGGAGTACAAAACCGTCGGGGATGGCCCCAGTCACATGCCTCGCTTCACCGGCGCCGTAACTGTACACGGCCAGATATTTGAGACTCCGCGGCAATGCAAGTCTGCTAAGGAGGCACAGAACACCGCTGCTCAAATCGCGTTTGAGCACTTCTCCACGCTTCCGCGGCCTCCGCCTGATGCTCCGGTTGCTCCGCTACCTGAACAGCAGCCGGTTGCTGCAGTTCCTCAGTCACTTCCTCTTTCTTCACTTCTTCCATCTCGCCCTACCCCTTCTCATGGTAATTCATATGTTCTTTCATTTTGAACATTTTCGATTATGTATGTTGGCATGGATCTTTGGTGGTTGCTTTTGAGATATTTGAAATTTGATTCAATTTTTTGAAGATAGGTTTGAAGTTTCTATTCTGCTATTTATTGATCATTTGGGGAAAATTTTGGGAAAAAATGCTGGATATAGCTGTAAATGTAATCTTATTTTATTTCTACCTCAAGCACTGAGGAGTAATTTGCTGGATGTTGGAAAATCTCGGTTTTTTAAGTGAAAATCAAATCTCATGCTGTAAATTTTTTGTTGACATCTCTTCTCAATAATGTATGTTACACTGATTTGCTGGTTGCAAGATCAGACCACTCGTTTAACCATGATGTGTTTAATTTGGTGCCATGTTTAGGAGCTGTCCTGGCAGTAACATAGCATCCCTGCTTTAAGGTCTGGAGAAGACAAGTTTGAAATTGGAAAGTAACCGATATAAAGACGAAATTACTGAAGAGATAAATACTGTCGATTACGATGATGCTAGGGTCTTGAGATGCAAATGATATTTGTGCACGTCTTTTAGTGCCGAAGAATGCTAATTTAAAATTTGCAAATGGGGATATACTGAAGCAAACCTGTAATGAACACTTCCATGGTTTATAGGGTAACAATAGGTTCCAGTAATAATCATTATAAAGATGAAATGAAGGGGTTTAGTTGTGTTTTAGACTTTAGTGTTAATATCTTGGTATTTAAACAAACAATTTGCATAATCCAAGAGTGTCATAATGCTCCAATCTTTACTCATGTCGAATTTGGTGATTGTGAATCATTGTACATGTGTACTCCTTTTCTGTCCCTACTAACAGATAGATATCTCTCAATTCAGTTTAATGTGTTATTGTTGCACTACTTTCATTGGCATTTTAAATGAGTGTCTGAGTGCTCTTCAATTACCTCTGTTGTTATTCTTCAATGATGAGGCTGATAACTAAACTTGGAATATTAAACATAAATTAATTACCTGATTCAGACCTTCACAAAGATACTGGAAATTTGTTTGTATTGCTTTAAAAAATGTAATCTTGGAAATGATAATATGCCAATTATGCTGATATTACTAGCAAAGTAGAGATATTACATGCATATGATTAACGAAATAACCTGATTCAAACCTTTAGAATGATAATGAAAACATGTTTGTATTGGTCAAAACGTAATCTTGGTTGTGATAATATATCAGTTTTGCTGATATTAGTAGAAAATAATGGATATTGCATGCAAATGGTAAACGAAATAGGAATTTGAATAGGTCGCTGCTGATTTACAATTACCTCTGAAACAGAAATCTAGCAAGGAAAAAATAATATCAATTTTACTGTTTGAATTTGAACCTTGGTTTTCGAGAGACGGAGAAGCCTCTAACTCAAAGCTGGTATACATTACTCCCTCGTGATTCTTGTAATTCAAAACAGACCCAATATTATTAAATAAGTTAGTAAAGTTGATAGAGACAACTTTATTATCGAACACATATCATAGGTAATTTTGATTGCAATAGATCAATACATGTCGACCTACAAGAATTCTTAAGTATAAAACAATTTTTTCTTATTCCTAAATCAATGTTGAACCTCATTTTATGACATAATATAATGGGCACTTTAGACCTTTATTCTTCAGTACAATTTACCATTTCTTTAATATGTGCATTAATATGATGCACAAGTTGCATTGTTGTAAACAGAGAGAAGCTAGTTGCTTCGTGGACACTATCTTCTTCTTCATCCATTGCTCTCTCTGTTCTTTCATAGGTACTTTAAGTATGTACAAGAACCAACTGCAGCAATTTGCTCAGAAAAACAACCTCAGTTTCCCCATTTATACTACCAAGGCTGAGGGCCCTCCCCATGCTCGCCGTTTCAAGTCAAGTGTCTCTGTTGGGGAAAAATCATTCGTAACAACGGAATTTTCCTCCACACTGAAGGAAGCCGAACAAGAGGCTGCTAAAGTAGCTTGTCAGGAGTTATCTGTCGACGTGACTCAACAGGCTAGTGTCCTAATTAACCCAATCATTTAACGTTATTTTGAGTAATTTTTTTTAGTTGGTTGACAATCTTATCTAAAGAGTATTGATTCAGGATGGAGGTTTTACCAAAAATTTGCTGCAAGAACTTGCTCAAAAAATGGGTTTTTTGTTCCCATCATACGAGACTGTCCAATCAGGTTTTCCCCATAATCCTCTATTTGTATCCACGGTCGAGGTGGGGGGTCGTACATTTCGAGGGGCTGACGCCAATAACAAAAAGCAGGCAGAGATGAATGCTGCTAGAGCTGCTTATTTTGCTCTTACAGAGAGTAAGCAATTAATAGTTTATGGCGGAGTGGATTTTGTTAATGATATATTAATTCAGTTTAAATTTTATTGCGAAAGTACCCTTGAGGTGAAGTCTGGTTGCAAAAGCTAAATATGGTAACAAATATCTTCTGGTACTTGTTCATATTTAATATTTTAAAAGCTTCACCTTTCTAAGGGTATTTGATAAGGAAGAAACCATGCCGACCTCAGAGTGCTGTTGAAGGGAGTATGTGCAATTTATAAGATGCAATTATATAT